TATATTGTTGAATCATCATGAGACCACCGTCTGAAACGTGCTGACGCCCACCACAACCCACCTCTGATCATTCTGTAGACAAATTTTTTTATTGGCTTAGTAGTAAATGAATGTTAGAACGAAAGAACAAACGAATGAATGATTGGTTGATAGATAAAATGAATGAATGAATTAATTAATTAATCAATCAATGAATCAACGAATGAATAGAATGAATCAATTAGTCAATTAAATAATTTGAAATATTGAGTGAGAAAATGAATGAATGGGGAAAAATAAAAAAACGAAACTAAACCTTACTTCAAAAATTTTCGTTACTGTACTCCATTGCACCGACCATCACCATCTGGTCGGCACACAAGATGTCATCCGAACTGCAAAGTGTCAGTCGAACAGCCAACGAGCTGATTCTTCCTACACCACCATCATCATATGTAAATCATCAAGAGAGACCACAATCTGAAACGTGCTGACGCCCACCACTGCCCACCTCTCATCATTCTGTAGACAAAATTTTTTATTATATTTTTTTTTATTATTTATTAGTAGTAAATGAATGTTAAAATCTTAAAAGCAAAAAATTATAAAATGAAAATAATGGCAAATAGATAATATTTTAAAATAATAAAGAGTGAAATGTAAAAAAATTCACCGTCGTCCATTTGAAAAAGACAGAATGTTAAATGCTTTTTGGTTCCTACGTTGTCCTCCAAAGCTGATGCCAGTCCTCCTCGAGATTGTTGTTGAAACACAGCCCGTATTGAAGAAGAAAGATAAAGAAGATTCTCATCAGAAAGCTTAGCAGTGCCTGCATCTCAAATTGCTTAATAAAAATAATCCTATCTACCTATTCAATTACCTTAACTAATATATATTATTAATGGTACGATAGTCGAAAGTCCCCCTTCCTTCTCCCTCCTTGCACAGAGGCTCACCGACAGCCAGGGCACCGGATAGTAAACCATTGCCGTGCGGATAGTAGACTATTGCCGTGCGGATAGTAAACCATTTGCCGTCCGGAAGCCGTGCGGGTAGTAGACTATGGCCATGCCGCATGGTAAATCATTACCGTGCAGATAGTAAACCATTGCCGTCCGGATAGTAAACCATTGCCGGTTCACCACTGGCAACCAAGGCTTACCTCTGACAAGAGACTTTGAAATCCAGAGTCAATCGGCTATCGTACCCTCAACTTACCTGTTCATTACAATTAAGCCCTAGCTTACCTAAAATTACAAAACTCAAGAGCCCAATTCATTTAGCCAATCGGCACCCACCCCACCACCTACGTAATGCCTTGGGCTCCAACTTAGTAATAATAATATAAAACTTAAACCCTAAATCTATTAATGAGTATGTGTTACAACGTAGCCTTAACTTACCTATTCATTACATTACGGTCCTAGCTTACCTAAAATACAAAACTCAAGAGCCCAATTCATTTAGCCAATCGGCGCCCACCCCACCACCTACGTAA